AATGTCCAAAATTACTGTTTTCATTGTCTGTATTACCTTCTTGGATGGTCAAAGCAGTCAGCTTTCATCACCCTGGAGACCTTGAATTTTTGTTCTTGCATCCAATTGTCAGCATGGATGATTAAATATTAGGTATGATATACATTTCAGTCTGGTCCTCTGGACATTCAAAAAACATAACAAAACAAACAAAAAAAAATGTAGAAACGTTTTGTCTTTCATCCGAAAGACTTCTTCAGTCTGAGGAGCTGTATTCAGCTCAGTCTTATAAATAGCACCTTCTCAGAGTGGATCAACCAGTTTGCTGCTGACAACCAAAACCAGCTGCTCACATGATCAAGAAGAACCATCAGCCTAACGATGAATCATTAGCACACTGATGGCTGTTTACTATTCACAGAGGGCTGAGTGATACTAGCAACAACAGCATTGTAAGAGGGGGACAGTTGAACACGGATGCCTCCACCCGCTTAATGATGGATGGTTTCTTTTCACAAAGATGGCCTCCTTTACTCCTCTCTCAAACCATCGTTCCTCTCTATCAAGGATGTAAACATCTTCATCCCTGAAAGAGTGACCGCTGGCCTGGAGATGAGTGTAGACCTCAGAGTCGTGGCCTGATGATGTTGATCTTCTGTGCTGGGCCATCCTTTTGGCCAGTGGCTGTTTAGTTTCCCCGATGTAAGAGTGATCACAGCCCTCCTGACACTGAACAGCATACACAATATTACTCTGTTTGTGCCGGGGGACTGGATCTTTGGGATGAACCAGTCTTTGCCGTAATGTATTTTGGGTTTAAAAGCCACTGGGACATTGTGTTTAGAAAATAAACGTTTCTGATACTCCCTCAACATACGGAATGACCACTGGTCTGGGTTCCTCCTTTTCACCAGATGGCTGACTGGAGTCCTGTTTGGGTTTCTTCTCTGCTTTCAGGAAGGCCCAGTTAGGATATCCACATTGCTCTAGAGCCTGTCTTGTGTGGAATTTCTCCTTCTGCCTGGCTCCTGAGTTAGTGGGGATGCTGTCTGCTCTGTGGTACAGAGGACCAGACTTAGCTTTTTTAGATTTTTCTACGTTGATTATTGATCATGCATCAGGATACTGTGTAGTATATGTTAATTATGCACTATATATATACAATGTACATTTTACCTTATATTACTACCTTGAAATACTTATTTATTCAAATTCATCCTGCTGAACCATTATATTCTACCATATTGTTGTTTACTAGCTCTCTTTAGGACATTGTAAATGTTATAATTACATTTTCACTTTTTGGTACTTTATTTTTTTTACCCTTATTGCATGATTTTAGTATTTCCAACAGTGTCTCAGTGCATGTACTTAATCATATTTAACAGCAGGGCTGGGTGTAAGATCGGATGTAAATACCTGCAGTATTCATCTTAAGTTGTAAACCTGTTTAAACTCAAAGTAGAACAAGCAAAGCAACAGAATAACAAACTGAATAACAAACTTAACTGTCTGTACAGATTTGCTTATAAAAAGTAAACTCTCAGTATAAAGTATAATTCAGACCTGTTGACTGCTCCTATCCTCTCCTGGTTAAAGTTAGCACGCCTCATGTAAATGTGATATGCTTGTGTTTCAATAGTTCACAGCTGCTGGAAGATGAGTAAATTGCACAGCCATACGATATGTCAGATACAATATAAAACTGTGAACCTTCCTTCTGAGACATCTTAATATGCTTGTAAATCACTGCTGACATTATGACTAGGTCTTTGTAAGTGAACCTTGCACTATATGGTGACTTTAACTTGTACATTACATAACATGGGGTTTTGATGAAAGCCATTTGTACTTGAGCTTCAACTTGGCAAACTAAAATATTTTATTTTATACGACTTATGTTAACAAATTTTTCAAAATCGACAAGTTCACCAACAAATTTATAGAGCTTAATATTATGTGCCATATATAAAAAGCTTCTTATTACTTGCCATTTATCTTATCCATTTGTAAAAATGACAACTAAACAAACTGAGTAGGAATGTAACAGTGTCCAAAAACATGAGAGAGCCCATATATTTATTTAAGATTTTATCTGAACAAAATTGACAAGAATTTGTCAAAAATTTAAATATAACAGATTGGACTGTTTCGTAATAATTTGTGTCTGTAAGTCTGAATAGAATTACAAGTATTGTTTTTGTAATCCATTGATTTGTGGCAGAGGTTAGAGATGTGAACCTGTGATAAGAAGGTCACTGCTTCAAATTCCCCTGCTGACTAAAATATCAAAATTTGAGCGAAAAATGTGAATCACCCATATCTGCTTCCAGCCTCATTTGCCCCAGTCTGGGCCCTTGAGCAAGGCTCTCAACTCCCTTAGCTTGGTGGTCTGTGGTTGTACCAAGCAGGACATCCGGTGTAAAACTATCGCCAAATCGGTGTGTTTGTTCACTCGTGGCGATCCCTGAAAAAAGAGGTACCCCAAAGACACCCCCCCCACACCCACCCCCACCTCTGATTTGTCAGCTTTTCACTGAAGTGAATGTTCTAATGATAGCAGCAATAATAGAGGTAGACAATACAACAGCTTGCTTTATTTTACATGAATGTTTGAATCAGGCATACTGGAAAATAAATCACTAAAATTACATTTACAGTAGTTATTTGTTGTTTAAAATACTAACAATAGGACATTCCAGAAGTCACAGTGTTACTGTTGCTTGTTTTTTACAGAGGCTCTTTTGCCATTTAACACATGAAATGACGCCAACGAAAGGCTGTCATTTTCTTGCTTTCAAATACTGGACCACTCCACACGTTCAGAAAAACACATTATTTTCTAGAATACATGACGTGCAAAGCACACTTGGGATATTTTGCAACCTGTTCAGTTGTTGTAAAATCACCATTATTATATTTCTCCAGGAAGGTCATTTTATAGTTTATGTTTTCAACAAGTAATGCTCTGTAAAATTCTGGTAAAGATTTTTATTTTTAATAAAAACTTTTTTTTCTTTATAGTATGTGCAACTAACTTAATCCTTGTTTATGGTGTGTTTTTATTAGTCTCACATGTATAGATTTTGTTGTAGTATTTGAGTATTAACTTTTATGGTACATGATAAACTCCCACTGAACAGCTGGATCCTACATGGATGTTAACATTTCCTAAGACTCACACAAGTTGGTGTATCATGCTGGTTAAATGTTTTCACTTGCAACTTTCTGTAACATCCCTGGACTATCATCTGAAAGCTTGAAGACACGTTGACAATAAAAACAAAATTTGAAACCATGTAACAACCATCAAGGCAGAAGTACAGCATTAAATACCTCATGATATGACAGCCTTGTGGTGTCTGAATGAAAGTGTAAACACGCTACCTTTTAACTGAATATATAAAAATACTTATGACAAGTAAAACACACACACAAAACCAAGGACAGAGAAAGATTTGGTTAAATGTGCTAAGCCAGATTTATTGAAGTTGCTTTTCTAGAGAGAAAAATGTTTGAATTGTACTTTAATGCAACATTAAGAAATTGAGTCTGCGGCACACTATACATATTATTTTTATTTAACTAAAATTAAGGTATTTGTTCATAACTAAGTTAATGAAGTTATGTACAGTAGTACTATGGACAAAAATGGAATTGGTCTTTTTTCACAATTTTTTTTTAGATTAAAATAGAAATAGAAAATTAATTTATAACAGTTTGACTATAAAGCAGTTAATTAAAAACAACCATTGCATGCAGTGGATCATTTCTCATCACTTTATTTTAGTAAAATATTTGTGAAATATTATTTTCTCACACTTTTTTAATGCTGTTAAATTTTAACTAGCATCACCATTATTATTATAATTATTACAATAATAATAATAATAATAATAATAATTACTATTATTATTATATTAATTTAAACTAGAATCACCATTATTATTATTATATTAATTTAAACTAGAATCACCATTATTATTATTATTATTATTATTATTATTATTATTATTATTACCATTATAAGATTTTATTAGTGAAGTCAAGTGCAAAGTTAAATTACTTCTATAAATGAGTCCTTGAGGCTCAATGGGATACCTGTTTAAATAAAGGTTGAGTGAATAGTACAGATTCATAAATTTACATTTGTCTCAAGATTATATATTTTTATTTTCAACTGTAGGTCAGTGTTTAAATTCACATGATTTTTTTTGGTATAAGTATACTAATAATATTTTTGAGAAGTCCTACAAGTATTGAGGGTTGACACATTATTATGTTATCTTATTGGTTTGTGAATTATTACCTCATCATGCTATTATCACACGTTTCACTACCAAAGTTTAGCCTTAGAAAGCTGCATGGGTAGAGGCTAACAACCTTTCTTATTGGGAACTGGGGGAAGTACAATGAGGTAAATGATGAGCATATTGTTGCTTGACTGTAACTTCGTACAGTTCAATAAGTAGATGATGGCTATAGAAGAAAAAGAGTTGGCCTATCAGTAAGTTTGAATCTCAGATATCTGTTAATGGTATTTTCATCAGAAAGTTTCATTAAGTTTTACTGAAAGTAGAACTCTTTATTAAATTATCTCCTGTTTTTATGTGTATGTACATTCAAATTTGAATTTACTGTAGACATTTTTTTTTCAATGGCAGTCCCTAGTTTATTTTTATTTATTTATTTTGTCATTTCAAACACATTACTATAGCCCCAAACCAAATAAGCAAAAACAAAACAAACAAACAAACAAATAAAAGATACACAATAAAATGAAATGAACACAGATAATTTAAACTGGGAAATGTTGCTCCAGCTGTTTAAAAGCGACAGGAGTCTTGAGTTCAGCATCACTTCATCAGGTTAATCTAAGATGGAATAAAGAGGGAATCATTTTAAATTAGATTCCCATCCAAATGAACTTTACACACAATCTGTGAACATATTTTTACCTCCAACAACAAGTTTTGTTGAACACTCCGCTCGACCCAGGGGATTTTCTGCAACAACCGTATAATCCCCGCTGTCCTTGGGCCCAACATTGAGGATCAGCATGGAGCAGACTCCACATGTGTTGGTGATGTAGTAGTTAGTGTTGGTGTTCAGGCTGATGTTATTTCTGTACCAAGTAACATATGGTCTTGGGTTTCCTGCCACAGCACAACTCATGTAGCACTCGTAGCATTCAGGACTTTTGTGCATTTTTAGTGGAACAGAAAATGATGGAGGCATCTCAAAACTGCAATTCTTGGAGGTGGGAAGTGTCACAGAAAACTTCTCTGGAAGCATAAAAATAAATAAATGTCAGATATTTTTTACACATCTTTATTTGAAACAAATGAATTAAACATCTGTAGTAGACTTTTATACTTTTTAAAAAAGATTTGCATATAAGTTTTAATGTCAAATACGTTAATTTGCTGTAAAAAATTAACAACAAGCTTTAGTAAAGAGGATGATCTAAAGGTAAAAATAATGTGTAATGTGTCAAATACTTACATGTTTTAATTTGTTTCTCCATAGTAATATATAAACAGCACAGTGCTTTACCTACTATACCAAATGGACATTTTTTTCTTGATAAAGTATTAAAAATTCACATATTCTTCATTTATACTGCTTTATTTTTACCCCATCTGTCTTTTGTCTGGCTTGAAATTGCTTAAACGGTGGCAATAGCTGTTTTATCGTTATTTTAAAGCTATTGATGGTAAATTTGCATTGCTTTGTGTGACCTTTACTCATTTTTTAAACAAAAATTGTGTATTCTAATTCAGTCAGTTCTTCTCAAATATCCTCTTAGACATTTATTTTGAAACTTGCCTTTCTTCTTGTGCACTTCCCAGGTTCCAGACTCTGAATGTTTAGAAAGACCCATGTCATTCTTGGCGTAGATCCGGAACTTATATTGCCTTCCGGGCATGATATTTATGGCAGTGAACTTGTTGTTGAAGAGATGATCAGCCACAGCTTGCCAAGAGCACTTAAGAGAATCATGTTTGTTGACCACATAGTGCAGCCTGTTGTCTTTCTTCTCATCTGGAGAGGGAGTCCATGAAACTGTGACTGTCCCTGACACGTTCTCCACCAGCTCTACAGGGCCTGGAGGCTTGGGGTCATCTAAAAACAGGTAGGCATTTACTAATAATATTTTGATGTCACTTGACAAAAAAGTACATTCGAAAGGTTTGTTGGGCTCAAAATTGTTAGTGGTTTACTGAAATTATTCATAATGTTCAAAGTTCTGTCAAGAAAAATTGATATAGTGGTAAATATCCTGATGCATGCTCAATAATCCAGGTAGAAAAATCTAAAAAAGTTAAATCGTCCTCTGGACATTCAAAACAAACAAACAAACAAACAAAACAAAAAACAAACAAAAAAACAACAACTTTGTTTTGTTTTTATTTTTTGAATGTCCAGAGGACCAGATTTAACTTTTTTAGATAGTGGAAAATAGCTTACAGTATTTGAATGATCAGTATGTTGGATCCATTGAGCAAGATAAAAAACAAAGTTAATGGGAAATCCATCCATCCATTATCTTTTACCCGCTTCTTCCATTTTGGGTCACGGGGGTCGCCGGTGCCCATGTCCGGCAATCACTGTGCGAGGGGCGGGGTACACCCTTAACAGGTCGCAAGTCCATCACAGGGCCACATATAGACAAACAAGACAAACAACCATCAAACAACCATTCACTCTCTCACTCACACCTAGGGACAATTTAGAGTTACCAAGCAGCCTAACATGCATGTTTTTGGTCTGTGGGAGGAAACCGGAATACCCGGAGAAAATGCACGCATGCACGGAGAGAACATACAAACTCCACCCAGAAAGGCCCCCAGACCGGGACTTGAACCGGGGTCCTGCTCGCTGAGAGGCAGCAGCTCTACCATTTGTGCCACTGTGCTGCCCAGTTATTGGGAAATATTTCATTTAAATTCAATCGGTGGATTCCAACAGTTTTCAGTCAGGTCATCTAGACAGTTTCTTCTTTTTTTTTGTGCTGAAACGTTTCACCTTCCATCCAGAAGGCTTCATCAGTCAAGGAAACGCACAACACAAAACTGATTCTTCCCCCAACAGCTTACACCAAAGTGGGACAAACCAGTTATGTTATTGCTAAGATGGTCTTTTTGGCAAAGAGACCATCTTAGCACCAACATAATTGGTCCTGACTGAAAATTGTTGGATTGTATACCTGGATTATTGAGCATGGACTTTGTTAATCAGTTGATTAATTTGATTGGCACATCATTTTCACTGTACCTGTGACTCTTAGCTCAGCACTGGAGGTCTCCTGACCAACAAGGTTCTTGACAATGATGGTGTATATTCCTGTGTCATGGCGCTCTGAAGAGGGGATCATCAACTGTGATGATGTATCTGTGTTGCTGACTGTCACATATTTGGGTAGTGGCAAGCCATCCTTTAGCCAAGTTATTGTTGGCATTGGAGATGCCTGTCAACAAAGTGAGACATACATATTTATGATGTGTGCTTATACTTAACACACACACACACACACACACACACGCACCCATAT